TGAAGAGGTATGAATTAGTTAGGGGGATTCAAAGTGTGAACAAGGCATACTCTACTTGAATTTGCCTTCGTAATTGCAATTTGTGTTTGCTGAATCTCACTGCTTTGTAGTCGGTTTAGTTAATCAAGAGAAATGGAAAAAGAACGGTTAAATAATAAGAAACATAACTCAGTACTAGTAGTTTATAGTCTCTGTGCAATACAACCTTGCTTGCCACTATATTGCCTCTACGAAAGGTACACTTGCCTTAAGTAGCCACCCTTAGAAGAAGGCGATCACACGTTCTTCCTAAAATTATGGGGAATTATTGGAATGTATGTGTGCATAGAAAGTTTCACAAGTCTTTTGAGACGAGGGAGATGCCACATGTTTGGAATGACAACCATTTAGTTGTGGTACCCAGGGTAAAGTTCTCAAGACAAGCTAGCCAGTTTTGTCCTATAAGTTACTGCAACTTCAAGTACAAGATCATATCAAAGCTTCTGGCTACCCCTTTTAAGAAATATGCTCCCTTCATTAACTCAAAATTGCAAACGACCTTCACAAAAGTTTGTCTTATTCAGGATCATATGTGAAACAACCCGATCCTTTTAAACAAAACGAAATACACGTGGCTTCAAAGCTGACTTTAAACAACCTCAAAAATTTCATTAAAACAAATACAACTGAATCCTTTTCGAAAGAAAAACTCTAAACACTTGGGCGACCTCAATCCATACTCAATAAAACAACATAAACTCTGAACCTCCAGTTTATACTCATAAACATAAATTACTAAACAAAATCTAACTCTAACTCCTTGTTGAGATCCCTGAGATCTTGTCCATGTCGGGACAACTGCTCGCCTCGTCATGCCTCTCGAAAACCACGTCCAATAACCATTACAACATACATTCATATACATAGCAAAACGCGTGCCTCTACCTTGAGTAGGCGATGGGATGCCTCACACACATAATCGCGCAAAGTCATAAAAATTAACTAACATAGATGAAAGTAAAAGCATAAACTACAAGACATATGACTGAGATATTACCCCCATTACACTCGCCTTACTTTCTGAACTTTATCGATCAACACGACCCTTATTTTCTGCCGATTGATCCACGTCATTGTCTGAGATTCCACGCTCAAATCCTCGTGCTTATCCTCCTTTTGCACTTTCTCCTAAATTCCGCCATCGCCGATCTCCAAGTTCCAGCCTTCGTCGCCTTCTTCTTCCGCCCCATTCTCGAGTCCCTCATAGAGCCATTCCTACGACTCTTCCTCCTCCTCCTCGAGCGGCACCTCATCAACGAGCGCCCTCACCCGGAGCCTCTTGCCATCCCTATTCCAGCCGTAGTGCGGGGACCAGCAACGGACCGCACTCACTCCTAGTTGCCTCGGAGGGTAAGTTCGTGGCCCCGTCGTCACCACCTCATCATCCTTCACCCGACCGCCATTGTTGGGATCAACTCTGACTCTCGTCTGCGCGTTGACGAGCTTGACATCAGATTCAACTACGACCACCGACGTTGAGTTCCCGAGTCCCTCCCACGACTTTGGTTCATCAGCCTTCCTGCTCTTTTCTACGATCGCGTCATCTCATCATTTTCTTGTCCACACTCCCTGCAATCTTCTTTTTTCTCCCGTGCCCTGCTTCTGAAACCTTCCTATCGTCTCCAAGAAACACCTTACAACCTTATTCCGATTGCTTCCTACCCCCAGTCGTCTGGCAAGCAAATCTCATGTATGTAAGGGAAGCACTTCTTGTGCCACGGAGGGAGGAAGCGCTGTCGATCGAAGGGGCGCGGGGAGGTTTGCTCTCTCCGGATTTTTTTGTGTCGCCGCGTGAAACCCTTCCCTCCTTCTTAATATTTCGATGGGTAAGTGACTGACTCACTCCTACTTTCACCCTAGAAAATGGCCAAGTGAAACCACTTCCTAAAGCGTAGTATAGCGGGTTTGGGTTTTAAATGTCAACCCGAGTCCTAGATATGCTGACTACTCAGTGAATTCGTATTATCTAGCAATGAAACTTTAGTGAAGATCTAAACTAACAAACAAGCAAAGCAACTAAATGGTTGTTTTCAGGTTAAGAGAGGTCACCCGGATATGGTTCCCCCTATACTGCAGTTAAGCTGGATTGCAATTACCAAGTTCAATTTCTATGATAGTTATACTGCGGAAGGTTCTCAAACAGTCTGAAGTCTCGACTAAAGGTCTCCAGACCCTCTCAATCTGAGTCTCTAGCGGGCGACTAACCTCCATCGGAGTAAACAGATTGAGGCCCTAACGAACCAAACCTCCACTAGCGAATTGAATTCGGTACAGAATAGCGAATTGGCTCCTCGACTAAAGTCACTAATTCACTACCTTCAATTAAGGATACTCTATCAACCTAGGCAGATATTCTCATTCTAGGTTAAAGCAGAAACAACAGGAATTTGATCAGGATTCATGCCATTCAATCATTCAAACCTCAATCGAATATAATTAAATCATAGAAACAGTACTTGGGTTCATACAATCAAACCTAATATACAGATCTAGGGTTTCCCATACCCAGATGAATGGGAGAACTACTCCATGAAGAAAGAAGCAAAAGCAGAATCAGATGCGGAAACCATACTGTGCAGGATGGATTTCAGCTCCTAGACGTTGATCGGCACTTCTCCAAGCTCAATCCAAGCTCCAATGGTGATGAAGATCAAGCTAGGGCACTTGGAGACTCTTTTTCGCCGCTTTCTCTCTTTAGGAATTGCTCTGTCTCTCTAAAACTCGAATCCCCTCTCTTTTGGCTGAAAATCTGCCTAAAAGGGCATCACTGGCCAGAACACGGTCGAGGGCACGACCGTGTTCTGCTCCAGCCCGCCCGTGACCTCTGCCACGTCATAAATACACGGGCACGGTCTGGGTAAAACACGGGCGTGTTTTGAAGTAGGACACGGCCGTGTTTTGAATTGCCCCCGCCCGTGTTTTGGTCTTTTCTTCATTCAACTCTCGGCAGTAAAAGCACTGGCGGGCCCTTTGGTGTACACGGCCGTGTTCTTCAAGCCTCCTGCCCGTGTTTTGGTCATAGCTCGACCAAACGACTTCCAAATGCCCCGAAACTCGTGCTTGGCCTTCCCTTCGACGCCTAAGACCTGAAATATGACAAAGTAGCACAACCCGGCGTAAAATAGGCCAAAACACACAACTATGCCCCGCAAATGGGTAAGAAATAGGGGTATAAAAACATGCAATTACACCGTTATCAAACTCCCCCACACTTAACCGTTTGCTTGTCCCTAAGCAAACCAAGTCAAACACCAGGTAAGCTCAAAACACTTGAATCAAGCAGGCTTTAGGGCAAATCATATCGGCACAAAACACGTGGATCATACTGGCTCTCGATCATTAACACATGGCAACTCGAACGACAACCTAGACAACCACCATAGATGACATTCGAATGCAATAAAGTCGAGCAAAGGAAAAGTTCCCTTCTGTTCACCAACCAACATAGACTTGACTCAACCACTTGTTCAAAACAGTCACTTCATGCACAAAGCTCAAGATATCAGAATTAAGACCGAGCAATCTAGGTCCTCACCGGGGTAAAGAGTATAGAGAATATGAGAAAATGAATCTCTCACTCTCGACCAGTGGGGTCAGGACAATTTGATGCAAAAAATGCGCATGCTTAATCTCTCAATCCCTAACGTCTCTTCACCATGAATGCAGCCTCTAAATGCTAGAGTTCACAAAAGGGGTGTCACCACTAACTAATCCGGAGGTCTTAGACACAGGTTCAACTGACTGGCTAGGGTCTTGGACATGGGGAAAAGGTCTTTTAGGTGGTGGAAGTTATAGCACAAGGTTCCACATTTCCAAACCCAACAAAAATCACAGTCAAGCAAACCAGTAACTTTCTTTCTGCTATTCTGCATTACTCAAATTCTTTAGGGCACAAGAGCGAAGGAGGTTATATATAAATGTTAGCATTTCCAAGCTAGACTGCTAAGAAACACTACTTAATGGGCCTTATTCAGATTTTTGGTGGTGGCTCTCTTTTGCTGCCATTTTTTCTTTGTTTTTCTTTAGTTTTTTTCTTTTTCATTCCTTAAGAGAACCACCACCTCTGCACAATTTTCAAACACACGCCCAACTTTTAAGCACTACCTCCAACCCTCACATTACAATTAGCAGAAACAGCAGAAAACATGTAAAAACCACTCCGTGGAACCTTCTAAAAGATACAAAAGGGTGATTTTTCATTGCAGACCGAAAGAAAGGATAACACACGGCTCAAAGGGGCTGACTAGGGGATATGACACATCAGGACAGTCGATTTGGTCGTGGGATAATCCTATGCCTCCATCATCTTAGCTAGTGACAACGTGAATGCTACACATCATGGAAGAGGAATCTATCGCACAAGAAAGAAACGAGCAGGCTCAAATCTCACATGCCTACCTATATGCTCTATCTTACATTCTGATTCCCTGAACTAGATGCATAAATGACTGTCAAAAGCAAGTGATCAAATTCAAGTCGCAGTTGGTAAGCAAACAGTTGAAAACTGAACCCCTACACAACTCTACTACACATCTCAGTCATCGTAATAGGCTGTCTTAGTCACACTCAAGTTGTCATGCATCAAGTCAAAGCCATTCAATTCACTAATCACATCCACAATGCCAATACGATCAAACATCAAGCAAACAGCAGTGCTTGGAGCCCTCAAATCTCGAGATTTGGACAGTGGACTAGGCTCCAAGCACCCATACACACGTTCCAGTTAATACAAAGAACCCCCCACACTTAAATGCGACAATGTCCTCAATGGAGCAGAGGAAAGGGGAACGATGTTACCGGTGTGCACGGACTGCAGGGGACTGGAAATGGACCAGTCGGCATGAAACGGACTGGAGAGAGGACCAGTCGGGATCACAGGCACAGCTAAAGGAAACCAAAGAGCTCAAACACAATATGTTAGGTCCAATGGTCAGCCCAATATTACATCATCCAAAACAAAAGAAAACAAACCAAAGCCAAAGCTATTGGCAATCCGACCCAAAACAAAAGAAATAAATGAAAACCGTGGTGGGGTTGCCTCCCCACAAGCGCTTCTTTACCGTCTTGTAGCTGGACGCCCATGGTGGATAATCAGCGTGGTGCAGGAACAGGTGGTGGATAATCAGCGTGGTGCAGGAACAGGTGCCTCCAAGAGCGGATCCACATCGCTCTTGAGGTACAGCTTCAGGTGGTGATCGTGCACCCGACGGGTGCAACCACCAGCATTGGTTAGCTCGACCTGGCCATCAGGCAGAATGTAGGCAAGAGAGTACGCGGATGGCCAGCGTGATCGTGATGCAGGAGGTGGGACCAGCTCATAGTGGTCTCCATCCTTCTTCTGAGTAGGCTTAGGCACCTGCTGCCACTCCTCTTTGAGTTTTTTATTCGGTGGTGAGGCTGGAGGGAGCGGCGGCGAAGGCGTGAGAGGGGGATCCTGCAAAATGAGAGGTGCAGAAGGATACAAGACAGGCTCGTGTACCGGGTCAGAAATAGCATGCACAGGTGTGACAGCAATCATAGCACAGTGATCGAATTCAGTCACAGCAAAGGTAGCCTATTCATTTCCAGCACGCAGTATCAGTTTACCATCATGCACATCAATAAGTGCCTTGGCGGTGGCAAGAAACGGTCTCCCTAAAATCAAAGGCACATCCACATCCTCATTTATATCCAGAATAACAAAGTCAACAGGATATGTGAATGCACCCACATTAACAAGCAGGTCCTCTATGATACCCCTAGGATGCACAACGGAACGATCAGCTAGCTGAATGCTCATCCTAGTAGGGCTAAGTTCACCTAGGTCTACCTTCTTAAACAACTTATATGGCATGACGTTTATGCTAGCGCCTAGGTCCGCCAAGGACTTGCCTACATGCATGCTGCCAATAGTAAGAGGGATAGTAAAACTCCCTGGGTCCTTACGCTTTTCGGGCAGCTTGTTCTGCAGGATAGCAGAACACTCCTCGCTGAGCATCACTGTCGAAAGATCCCCAAGTTTCTTCTTGTTGGTGAGGAGATCTTTCATGAACTTTGCGTACTTGGGCATCTTCGACAGTGCCTCCACAAACGGTATGCTGATGTTGAGCTGATTCAACATTGCCATAAACTTGGCAAACTCAATCTCCAGCTTGTCTTTGTGTAGGCGAGTGGGGAAGGGAAGCTGGGGTACGTGCTCCTTAACCACTGGTTGTGGCTTGGGAGCAGGGGCTTCCTTCTCCACCCGCACTTCTGCATCATCGGCTGGAAGTGCTGAAGCAGGTAGTGGTTCCTCCTGCCTGGTCGGGGCAGGATCAGCCGATGTGGGCCTGCCACTCCTGGTGAAGATGGCATCCAACTGCTCGTGCGGTTCCCGTGGATTGGGGATGGTGGTGGCAGGTAGAGTCCCCGGGGCCCGGGCAGTAAGTTGGCGCGCTAGGACACCGACTTGGTGCTGTAAATCTTGCAGAATAGCACCCTGGTTCCTCTGTCCTGCCTTCAGAGAGGCTATGCTCTGGTCCACCCTCGTGAAATTTGCCTGGCTGGTGGTCATGAATGCCGCCAAAATATTCTTCAGATCGGTCATCTGGTTATCGGGAGCTGGGGCTGCTGCTGGCTCGGCATACTGTCGCTGGGGCTGCTGGAATGGCTGCCCCTGCCTAGGCAGGTAGGGCTGCTGCTGTGGTGGTGGCCCCTGCCTAGCCTGGAAGGGCTGCCTCTGCTGAAAACCACCTGCTGGTGCTGGGAAACCAGGTGGTTTGTTGGTGTTGCTGCTCCAGGCAAAGTTGGGATGCTGGCGCCATCCCTCATTGTAGGTATTGCTATATGGGTCCAGGCGCCGAGCATTTGCGATGAAGTCCACCTGTTCTTGGGGAGTAGAGGACTCCCTCATAGCCTGACAGTCCTCCACCCGGTGATTCGGGCTCTCACACCACTGACACTGAGCTACTGGAGGCGTAGCTGTACCTTGGCCCGGAAGGAGACTGTTGGGCTGCTTCAAGGTCTGCACCAACTCAGCCACCTGTTGTTCTAACCCGGACCTGGCCTCCATAGAGTGCACACCACGGTCCCGGGAATTTCTGCCTATGCTGCTCTGCCCCCAGGAATGATCTCGGGTAGCCAAGGTACTAATCATCTGGTTCAGCTCGGGTGGAGTCTTAGTGAGGACATCCCCTCCTGGGCATAGAGACTCAAACACCCTCTGGCTGTCTGGGGTGAGGGCACTGTAGAAGTTACCCACTGTGAACGCATCGCTGAAGCCATGATGGGGACACTGCCAGAAATATCCCATGTACCGCTCCCATGCATCACGAAGTGACTCATCTGGCTCTTGGCGGAAGTGAGTGATCTCCCGCTGAATCTCTGTGGTCTTCGATGCCGGATAGTACCTGTGCACGAACTTGTCTGCCAGATCGTCCCAAGAAGTGATGGACAGTGGGGGCTGGGTCTCCAACCACCTCTTAGCATTCCCCGCCAGAGAATGGGGGAAGAGGTGAAGGCGGATTGCGTCATCAGGAACACCGTTGAGCTTGAACCCGTTCGTCAGCTGCAGAAAACGGGAAAGATGCGCTCGGGCCTCCTCATCCTTCAAGCCATGGAACTGGATGGATAATGTAATGAGTTGAATCCAGCATGGCTTGATCTCGAGGTTGTTCACTGGAATGGGCGGATAGAGGATGACCGGGCGGATGTCAGCAATCCGTGGAGTGTAGTAGTACTCCAAGGTGGGACCCGGCGGTGGTGGTGGATGCTGATTCACCGGGGGAGCCTGTCGAGCATTCCCCGGTTGTGGGTTGTCTTCGCCTTCCATCTCGTACTCTTCCTCAGAATCGTTGCTCAAGTGGCCGTCTATGCGTTCTCTCGTAACCAGTCTAGCTCGCTGTTGTCTCCTAAGTTGGCGGCAAGTACGTTCAAGCTCTGGATCCAACGGCAGTAAACCTCCTGACTGGCTACGGGTCATGCACTATCTGCACACACTCAAGTAATGCAAACCCGTGAAGGCACAAGTGGGAAAGAACAAACAACCAATGCGAAAATGAAAATGCTAAAGTAACAGAAATCACTTTTCTTCAACAACCTAGCCGTCCCCGGCAACAGCGCCAAAAACTTGACTCACTCCTACTGTCACCCTAAATCATGGCCAAGTGAAACCACTTCCTAAAGCGTAGTATAGCGGGTTTGGGTTTTAAATGTCAACCCGGGTCCTAGATATGATGACTACTCAGTGAATTCGTATTATCTAGCAATGATACTTTAGTGAAGATCTAAACTAACAAACAAGCAAAGCAACTAAACGGTTGTTTTCAGGTTAAGAGAGGTCACCCGGATATGGTTCTCCCTAGACTGCAGTTAAGCCGGATTGCAATTACCAAGTTCAATTTCTATGATAGTTATACTGCGGAAGGTTCTCAAACAGTCTGAAGTCTCGACTAAAGGTCTCCAGACCCTCTCAATCTGAGTCTCTAGCGGGCGACTAACCTCCACCGGAGTAAACAGATTGAGGCCCTAACGAACCAAACCTCCACTACCGAATTGAATTCGGTACAGAATAGCGAATTGGCTCCTCGACTAAAGTCACCAATTCACTACCTTCAATTAAGGATACTATATCAACCTAGGCAGATATTCTCATTCTAGGTTAAAGCAGAAACAACAGGAATTTGATCAGGATTCATGCCATTCAATCATTCAAACCTCAATCGAATATAATCAAATCATAGAAACAGTACTTGGGTTCATACAATCAAACCTAACATACAGATCTAGGGTTTCCCATACCCAGATGAATGGGAGAACTACTCCATGGAGAAAGAAGCAAAAGCAGAATCAGATGCGGAAACCATACTGTGAAGGATGGATTTCAGCTCCTGGACGTTGATCGGCACTTCTCCAAGCTCAATCCAAGCTCCAATGGTGATGAAGATCAAGCTAGGGCACTTGGAGACTCTTGTTCGTCACTTTCTCTCTCTAGGTAATCCTGAGGTAATCCTTCTCTCTCAACATCTCACCTGAGGTAATCCTTCTACTACAAGGATTTATACTTTCTTTACTTGAACGAATTGGAGCTATAGATCCTTGCCTCCAATTGATACGGTTCATGGTCGACTAATACCTCACCCATTTCTCATAAACCACTTACTCAACTACCTGTTATCTCAATGCGACTATGACATTATGACATCCTTCCTTCATAAACGCATTTGATGTTGTAACGACTTCTTAGCTCACATTGCTCTCAACGAGTTGTTTAGGGTCTCTACTTAGGACCCCATAAGAAACATTAAGGAAATAAATTCTTAGCCAGCCCTATTAAGGATATGACCCATTATAACTTTATCTCATAATGCGCCCAGACCTTGAACTACGTTCTCCATATCCTGACTGCCGACGCCTTGAATTCCCTTACATAGATTTCCGTAGTGAATGCTTGACTTGTTGAATGGCTTACTCATATTTCGATTCCTAGGTATTACTTCTTCCCCCCTTTATAGACCTCATTATTCTCCTCTTGGTAACTCCGCTTGATACACAACTTAATGCCGCTTTCCTTGGGAGTCCTCGTATGATCTCTTCTGCCATTCTTATACCACTTCAGTGCATCCAATATGTTCTCTAAATCCATATTCCTTACTTTCTTACCCGCAACCCTTCCTCTTGGTGTTCCTCGTTCTTGATGTAGTCCTCTAGGTTCCTATATGTTCTCTTTCCCTTAAGAAGAGTTTATCCTCAAAATTTGGTAGCTACTACCACTCTGTTTGGTTGATCTTGATCGACTTGTCCGTGCGGGCTTACGTCTTCCCTTGCTGGTTCATCGTTTCTTATACAAAGCAATCATGTTGCCCTCTATGACTTCTTAAGGACATCCTGCTCCCCTGTTAGCTAGATCTTGGTCTTTCCCTCCTTGGTAACTCCGTTGTTAAAGAGGATTGAACATTATCCACGATCATTTGTTGGTTCCTCCAGCTCTGGCCTCAATGTTGCACATTTGGACTCCTCAAGTTTTCGAGACCATCTCCTAAACTTCACCTTTTCCAATGACACCTCTTTGTATTACACTTCTCAAATTTTCCACCAATACCTAAATGGTTTGCAAGCTTTGTCGTATGTGCAGAGCTGGCTGGGTATCGTGTCTTATCTTCCCACGACTTTTCTTTACTGGGGGGGGGGTCGTCCTTCTGTAACCAGTTATGAAGTTTGGAAACTCATCCAATTTGAA